AGGGCCACAACAATGTGGAGCAGCTGGGCGAAGCAGCCCGTTGTTTTTCACTCGCGCACCGCCGAAGCTTACTAAGGAACTACTTGCGTAAAGAGAGCTACAAGCGCAGATTGTGCACGTCAGGCACCTAATTCTGGAACTATACAGGTGCTGTAGCAAAGGGCCGCAAGTTATGGTTGGTTGGGAGGTTGGTTGGGTAATCTTACAATTGGGAGAAGGGGTGTAGACGAACTGGTGCTCATACGTTACACCCGGGGTTTCGCATGGTACATTTTCAGATTGTAAAAATGCCTTACATGCATGCATCTATCAAGTTTGCATGCCTGCAATCATACCGCTTTATCACGCGTATATGACACGCAAACATGGATGCAGGCACACCCATGTCACTATAGACCTGCACAATATTCATTCGATCCTCATTTGCAGGTGCATGCCAAAACATCCTTGGGCAGTTCCCCCTGCACGAAAACAGACTGCTGCCGGGATTTGCTGTGCTCATGCAGTCCGCGGTTCTTCGCAGTTCAACGTATGCGGGTAATCCTCATCATCGAAGCATGTGATCCGACGCAGCGTCCCGCACGCATAAAAGCTGCCATTGATGAGTCGGTAGTTGGTGCGAGGCGCGACCAGGCCTGGCATGCGGGATGGTGCGGATTTGGGACTGGGAGATCTGCGGTTAAAGCCAGGACCAACTTCTGCCACATGGACAGGATGCGAATTATCTCCGAAGGTCTCCAAGAAGTTGATGCTCTTCCAAAACTGGAAAAAGTTGCTGTCACCTTCTTGGAGGTTCCACCTTGCAAGCGAATCTTTGTGCAGTCCGTGCGAGTGTCAGATGTATGCAGATCCCGCTAAGAGATCACGGCAACAGCTCCTCTCTCTCCCTCTCGAAAGCATGACAAATCCTACTACCGAACAGCCTCCGCCCAAGCGCTTGACGAAGGCGGTTTACAGAAAATTCTGAAGCAATCCCGGAATCCCAACTGAAAAGCTGAAAACAGAGCTTGGCATGCCGCCCAACTATTTCTTCTCCAAGGTTATCAGATTTTGCCTATGGGCTGTACTGCTACTCGGAAGAACTACAACTCGCTCTGCTCAATTCTCACTTCTATGTGTCTTGTGAACTGCTTTGTCACGATCACATACGTCAACCCGAAAAGCTGCGTACATAGACTCGATAGCAGTTACTCCCAACATCTCTTATGATGCTTACAGCGGTTTGTCAGATGTTCTATTCTAACCTTGCCATGTTTTCGCGCGTGTTTCTGCGAATAGTTGGTCGCTTCGACCGAGCTCTTAAGCCATTTTGGTTTGAAGTGCAGAGTGGCAAACCTGCATGCCGTAGACGTCTTATATCCCACATGTAATGTGCACAACGGATGGCCGCGAACTCGATCCGCCAAAACGTCTGGAGACAAAGATCAAACATGGCATTACTACTAGCCTCACCAGCATCTGGTGGCAGTACGCCAGAATGGCGGGGGCCCCGCCCTGGCCCATGATGTTTGGATCACCGAGGCCTGGAGCTGAGAGCCGAGCCACAGAGAGTAGAGGTGTAACGGACTCTCCGCCGCCACCTCGCTCTGTTTGAGGCGGCAGTTTCATGATCTGCAGGGCGGACTTGATCCAGAGGTTGGGGTTGGGACGCGTCCGAAGTTACGCGAGATGCCTTGCTTCAAGCAGCCAGGTCAAAATCGTCAGCCAGACCCTCAAGCTGCAGCGCACTGCAGCGCACTGCGTCCTCATGCCAAAGATGTGTAAGCACCTCACCGCATTCTTGGGTTCCTTTGCCGAGGCTTTTCTTGGCAAACCGGTCACTTGATGTAAGAGAGTCGAGTCAGTTAGGCAGTTAGGTAAGGCAACTCAGGCAACTGCGACTGTGAAGTTTGCACCGAGTTTGCACCGGAAGGTCCAGGCTGGTTACGAGTTGCAGGCAAGCCTCGGGCGAGGAGGTGTCGGCCGTGTGGTGCAGGCTTCGCACTCGTCTCAGTATCACATCACGCATACAGGTTGGAATCAGGATTCCTCTCAGGCGGTCTGCCGGCGATCACAGATCACCAGAGCTGTCAAGATCACCAGCCAGAGGTCTGATCCATCAGGCAGCGGATTTCAGAAATGGTTCCGTGAGCGCGCTTGTCTCCACGGAAGGTTTCGAAGTGTCTTTCCGTAGCCATTTTGGCTCAAGCACTGGCTCTAGCACTTGAGTTTTCTCGAAAAGCGAGATCTAGCCGTAGCTACTGCCCTGTAGCTTACCTGTCTCTGCCTTAGAGCGAAGCCATGTTGCCGGCACATGTTGTTGTGCCCCTCACCATGTTCCAATGGGAACTTGACCAAGCCCCGCCTTCGCCCAGGCCTTCGCCTTTGCCTCCGCGGTGGATTCGTCCCCCGGACTTTGCCTTTGCCCCATGCAGCCCGTCTAGCCTTGCATGACTGGGACTGGTATGTTATTACGTTTCAGGAATGTTTCGCTTTGCAGCCGCATGAGGGCCAGCCTCTAGAGCCCTGCCTCCAGGAATGCCTCTTCTCCTGGACTGTTTGCCCTCGCATTCTTATTTGCCTTCAAGTTCATGAATGGCTGCCTTTGGTTCTAGCCAATGACGAGTGTCATCAGCTCATGGTTGAAATGTTATTTTGACCCCTCTTGCCTCTCAGGTAGCCGCCGGGGACCCAGCCATGCAGCCTTTACAGCCTGTCCCATTTTTCCTTCCCTTGCGGATTTTGCCGTACCAGTGGCACTGGCCAGGCCTCCTAGATGCCTTGCCTCTTCCAGGTTATATGGGTCAGCCTCACCGCCCTTGCCTGCAGGACCTCTTGCTATCAGGTACGGTGGGGCCGCGCCTCCTTTTGTTTGCAGGTGGGCCTTCCTGGCTGCCTTTAGCCCTGCTTTCTCAGGAGACGCATGAATATATCTTTTCGCATTTGGACATTACTGACTAGCTGCATCCTAGGTCTGCCGACTGCACCATCGATGCCCACCGAGCCCTCCGCCTCTGACTGGCTCGGGCCCCGGCCACCGGAGCCGGACTCTGAGCTTTCGCCGGGGGCCTCCCGCGCACCGCCACTGACAGCCTTTGCTCAGCCAGCAGCTCAGTCACAGCCACAGCCTGCCTTTTTGCCTTTGGGGGGGGGTACCAAAGCTACCACTTCCTTCCCCCCACGTACTTTGAACGTTTTGCCCTGTCCCCTCAGGCCTCGTCGGATGCAGCCAGCCAAGATAGCATCTGGATAGCCCCTGAAAGCCCACCTCCCTCCACCAGGTCCAACTCACAGGACTCCAGCCTTGACTCAGCTGTGCCAGGACTACGTTACCGCCATCCCTTGCCTTGGAGCCCCTTTAAGGTTACACTACTCTGGCTCCTTCAGCCACCCCTCTGCAAGGTGCTTTGGTTTCCTACCAAGGACCTGCGTCAGCCTTTTCTTGGCTGGAGCCTTGAAGGCCTTCTCTTTGGAGTTGCACCTTGTGCCAATATTCTTTTGTTTGCCAGCTCACGCCAGGAGGTTGTTGCCTTGTGCCTTTTAAACAGGGCTTGCCATGATTATGTCGCCGAGCGCATATCCAAGGCCCGCGGCTGATACGGCCCTTTTGCCTTACACCCCCGGCTCTCAGCTGGCTGGCCCTTTGAGAGTTCGGCACATGGGAGCCTACGCCTTGCTATCTCTCAGGCACCTCCAGCAGGCTGGCCGTTGCAGCCTCAGCCAGCACAAGCCTACCCGAAAGCCTGTTAAGCCAAGCCGCTTTCTCAAGCCGTCTATGAGCCCTTTCTTGCAGCTGGCTCTTCTCATGCGTGCCGCCCCCCCAGGCTTCTTCGAACCCCGGCCCGCACCTCAGCCTCCGAAGCCAATTCGGGCCTGCGCCAAGATGCTGGTCAGAGCAGGCCTTCGTTGTCATTCATGTTTTCAGATCAAGCCGCTTCTCCTGCCTTCAGGTCAGCCGACCCCGGCCCTGCCCTTTGCTTCCCCGGCCTTCAGCTCTTCTTCTTTCGATGGCCAGCCCGATTCGGCTGATTTTTCAGGATCTACCTGATCGACGCCTCGCCCTCTGTCCGGGCCTTGCCTGCCTCGCAAGCGGTCAACTGCAGCCGGCATACCCAGCTCTTTCGGCTAGACAACATGCGGGGGAATCAGCAGCCCCGTCGCCAGGATCAGCGCGCACAGCGCTCCCCCTGGCCTTCCTTTGCCAACAGCCCTGCTCTCCAATGGAATCAGGGCCAGCCGACTGCCAATGTGACCAACCTTTCAGCCATGGGCCGTATGAATGCGGGACTATCAGGCCCCCTAGCCTTCGACCCCGATACCAGCTCTGCCTACGATGCTCTGCAACCACAGCCTTCCACTCAGGACTTCAGCCAAGAGCCTACCGACGAACCGACTTTACAGTCCCTAGCCGATCGCCTTAGATCCTTGGAAGCTCGCATTGGTATTCTGGAAGCCGATCGCCGCGGTGCGCAACAAGCCTTGTGGCATCATAGCCATCGCGCACATGAGCAGCCTCGCCTTCGTTGCCTTCTCTCGCCATGGGTTTTTCTCAGTGCCAAGGTGGACGCCGTGAGGATACGCCTGGACCAGACCTACGCCAGGGTAGCCGGGTTGCTTCTGACGCTTCAGCAAGCCTTCCCTTCGACTGCCGTTTACTTCACGGAGGCAGCCGTGGATGCCTGCCAATATCAAGGACCCACAGCCTTGTTGGACTCCGAAGGAGATCCCCAAGCATAGCCTTGTGCATCCAGCCTTGCTCGCCTGCCAAAATACCCCTGCAGACTGTTCATACTGGCTGCACGATGTAGTTACCATGATGTCCCTGCTCAGGTTCAGCATCCCTCAGGCCCGGTCTTTCCTTCGCAACCCATTGCTGACCTCCATGCCCTGAGCCAGGTCACAGCCTCACCGCCGGCACAAGCCACAGGACCCGGATGTGCATTAGCTTCGTGCCAGTGACCTTCCGTAACGAGTGCACAAGTATCCCTGCACAGCTCTTTTGTTCAGCGCCCTCCAAAGCCATGGCATCCGACCACGATGCCTTCGCAAATTGGTTGAAGACCCTCGCCCCCGAGGAGTTAGCCAAGCTCAAAGCCTTTCATTCTGCATCTGCACAGACGGCAGCCGACACAGCCGTCCAGGATGACGCTCGGCCTTGCGATAGTTCTTCCAGCCTTTCCCCACGTAGCCTCCTTATCTACCAGAACCAGGAAGCCTTCTATCATGCCCAAGACGGTTGCTATACAGGCCCTATTCCAGCCTGTTTTGACTACGTCCCGCCTCAGGACGTGGAAGACCTTGATGGTGCCGACCCTGCCCAGCCTTCTGATTCTGCCGACCCTGCCCAGCCTTCTCAGGATGACGGGGCCCAGCCTTCTCAGCCTTCCATGCCCCCAGCCGACGAAGCAGAGGCAGTCTCAGAACAGCCGATTCCAGCCGGAGGGGAGTACCTCCCCATGGAAGAGCCTTCGTCATCCACAGCCTTTCACGCCACTCCACAGGCCGGCCTTTTCTCAATGATGGGCAACCTCATCGAGATGCCAGCCGTGATCACAGCAGCTACACACCAGCAGCCTTTTCCCTTGCTTTTCTTCGATCCGGAGGCCCAGTCCAAGCCGATCAATCGCCATGAGCTCTGGCAGCTCATCAAGCGCCCTGACCTTGGAGTGGTTAGGGAAGCCGGAGCTTGACGGCGGACAAGTTTCCCCTCAGCCCTCCGGCCAGCTTTTTCCCCAACTATCCCAATGCACCACCCAGCCAGCCGGACACCTCCCCCATGCCCCGCGCCAAAGCCGATCCCCGCCGCGATTAAGGCCGTGCGCCGTACCGCCACCCACCAAGACCCCGCCGGCATCGAAGCCTTCCCAGCCACAGCCCTCGGAGAAGCCGCCGCAGCAGAAGCGCCCCCCCGAAGTCCCACAGAACTGGAAGCCGCCAGCACAGCACTTTTTGCCAGACGCAGCCAAGGCCGAACCGCCGACCAAAGCCATGCCACAGGTGCAGCTTGCAGCCAGGCACAGCCCACACCGAAGGCGACCGCGGCGGAGCCTGGGCCTTCCCCAGAGCCTGCTTCCAGCAGTACCGACTTGCATAGCCAAACGCGGGAAGGGATCTTTTTCGAACCCGAGTTCATGGCCTCCGACCACAAGCCCTCCTACTCCGGAACGGAGCGGCCACCCCAGCCTTTTGGATTAGCCTTGATCTGGGACTCCCGTACATGGATCAACTTCTATGGCGGGGAGCCCCCCAAGACAGCCGTGGAGATCGACGTCGAGACCCATTTTTACACGGTGGAGCCAGGACCTGCTGAGGATCAGCCTTCACAGCCGGAGCCTGGCCAGGAGGAGGAGGACACCGAGTCCTCCGGGGCGCAAGAAGACCTTCCGCCTTGCCCACCGCTCCGGGAGTGGTTTTCAGCGGACACCGGGGTCCTTCGCTACTGGCACTTCGGTGCCGCGGGCCAAGCCAACCCCCGCCAAATGGGGAAGCAGTCGGTCCCGGCCCTTTGCCTTCAGGACTTGAAATCCCTCCCCGAGCCTTTGGTCGACAAGCGCAAGAACATCATCATTGACCCGCCTTCCAAGCCTTACCTCTACAAGCCGCCCGCGATGGCCCTACCGAGGCTGCCTTGCCCTAACATGCGCAACTGCGTCATCGTCCCCAGCCTTACCCTGCCGCACACCTTCGACCTGGACCCCGCCTTTGCCAGGATGTATTATATGGGCAGCCGTGGTGAGATGCGTTGCGGCCTTCCCTGCTCGACCGTGCCTTTCTGTCCTTACCATTCAGCCTGCGGACGGGAAATCACCGAAGGGACCGTCGAGCATAGGGATAAGCACTCCGGCCATCAATGTTCGCGCTGCAAAGAATTTACAGACCTTGGCCGTAGCCCTTTCGAATGGTTTTCCGCCGTACCCCCGCAGGTCTCCTCGGGGTAGCCGTTTGCCTTCGCAGCCTTCATTTAGCCTTTTTCAGCCTTGTGAACATGTATCTACCGGTCAGCCTTCAGCCACGTTGTATGCGCAGGCACACGGCATTTTTTGCGCCGCACGACCGCCGCCATCGGCCCACAAAAAAGAGTGCCCTGCATTCGGGGTCTCCGCCGATAGTCTTACATCGAGTGTGCTGTGCTCTTTCGAGCCCCGACCTGCAGGACCAGCTGGCCTTTCAGCCCTCAGCTTCGGCACGGTTTATGCAACGTCTTGCCTCTTTTGTGCGTGCCTTCAGCCGATATGGATCCAGACACAGACCCGGACGACCTTAGCAACCTAGAATCATGGAGTCCGGTCAACAGCCTGCACAGCGATGCTCAGCGAACAAAGGTCCCTCCCCGCGCCACTGTGGGTGCTCTCGGGGTTTCTCCACCCGGACGAAGATCAGCCTACAGCCCACCAACCAGATCGCAGCAGGAGCCCCAGCCGGGAGAGCCATGTCTCGCCAACACAAGAACGGGCCACAGTGGTACGACGCTTTCGCAAAGACTCTTCTGCCTTCGCTTCAACAGTGAACCCTATCCCGCCAGGTGCAGACAAGCACGTTCTCCTGCCACTGCAGTCGGTGCCCAAGACGCGGCCGGGCTTGCCCCCCCCAGCCTTGCCACCGTGCCCATGCCTTCAACTCTGCACAGGCGCCCGAGGTTCCCGCCTGCTCTCAGCAAAGGGGGGCCCCACCAACCGCCGGGACCTCAACCCAGCTGGAGGGCCAGCCTTCTGGGACTCAGCCACCCGGTCTGTCAGCCTTTAGTCCCGAGAAGCCTTCGTTACTTCCCACCCCCTCGCCCTCTGCCAGGACGGGAACAGCCCCTCGGTCCTAGATTCCATGTTCAGGACCTGCCCTCTCGCCCTGCATCAGCCCCGAACTCGATCCGTCACACTCGCTTGCCGGACATGGTTCAGCATTGCACCCTGGCGGCAGGTCTACTCAGGTTACCAGGAAAGGCCAGGAGGCTTCCAGGAAAGCCAAAGCTCTGGAACAGTGGAAGGAGCTTCTGTGGCTCCTCGGGGACTCGGCACCGCAGCCTTCAGGAGGCCAAGTATTCTCAGCAGCTTCTCGCCCAGAGCATCATGCCTTTTACTGCCGGCACGCTTGAAACCTACCTGTCAGCCTGCAGACAGTTCATTGAATACCTGATCCTCAACAGCCTGGAAGTCAGCTCGGTCTCCGTAGCTAGCCTTGGCGACCTCTTATGGGCATGCAACTCCAGCCTCGAAGAAGATAGAGAAGTATGCCGCGCCGGACCTAAGCCGATGATCAAAGCCCTCTCATGGCTAGCCAAAACCGCCGGCCTAGCCCAGCTTGCGGCTGTGCTGTCAGACCGCCTTATCAGGACATTTACGGCTCAGGCCGACATGGACCGACGAGAAGCCTTACCACTGCCACTTGCCGTGGTCGTAGCCTGGGAACTCCGCATATGCCAGCCGGAGTGTCCCACAGAGCTTTGCCTTCTGCTAGGGGGATTCCTGCTAGCCTTGCACGGTGACTACTACTACTACTAGTTACTCCTACTTCCAGTCCATGACAACAAGGGCCTCCCTTGCTGTGGCCCTTACCCTGCAGCAGGTGGGGAGTCCACCCGACCTCCTCGCTGCAGATTGGCACCCCGCGGGCAATGACCTCATCCCGCTGTGAGTCAAGGAAAAATGCCGGATGCTGACTCATTCCAGGTGCCTGGGCCGCCCCGTGACCCGGCCAACGGTCACGCACCGACTGAAACCCACTAACCGGGAAGTCAGTGTAGGTAGGGCTCACAGTTCTAACCCATTCGATCAGATCTGGCTGGGGCACCCTGCCACCAACCCCTGGATGTCACTCAGGACCACATAAACATCAGCCTTAAGAGCCTCTCCCTCACAGGACATAGCCTTAGAGCGGTCTGCTGGCATACGAAAACAACCAAGCGTGGTCAGCCTTTTACAGTTCGCCTCCATGGAATTTCGCAGGCCTTTGGGTGCTGCCCTTCCTCAGAGCCGTCCAGACAATATGGGAGCGTACTGAGGAGATCTACGGCTCCCAAAACTGCCCTGACTTCATTCTGCCCACCCTGCATAACCTAAGGGGTTTCCCAGGTAAGCCAGCGGCAGCCTACCACCAGCCTATGTCGTACAGCCAAGCGCTAGGGTGCCTGCGTTTCTTCATGTGCCGCAAACATCTGGAAGGCAACTCCCCGGAGCTGCTCACACCAGACGAAGCCTCCGCCTTCACCATGCACAGCCTCAAGGTCTGCCTGCTCAGCGCCGGCGCACAAATTCAGGCAGCCGACAAAATACGCCAACAACAAGGCCATCACAAAAACCCTAGCGTACAGCTTTACGGGAGAGACGATACCCTCGGAGCTTTAGCCCTACAAACCGAAATCGCCCAAGCATGTGCCTCAGGTTGGAGGCCCTCGCGCCCAATTGCCAGGGGAGGACAGCACCCGACAGTGGGGCCGCCTTTTTCAGTCATCTCTTCATCACGTGAAGCCGAGTTGGAGCAGGTTAGCTCCGAGACCCAACCAGCCACCGCGGACAGTGCCGAGACGCAGCCGGTACCGAGCACTAAGCCATCGGAGCAGCGGTCACCAGCAGCCAGCAGCCTCCCTCCGACCATACCCGCAGACGATATCGAGGCCTTGCTAGTGGAGAGTTTTGCGGTTTCGCAAGCCGATTCATCCGACTCGGAGGACCATGCCACCCCGCCGACAGTGGAAGACATAGCCATCTTCCAAAACGGACCATGGAAATCCGTGCACGCACAGCCGCTGGGGGGCGACAAAGCGGCCTGCGGGACGCCCCGCTCCACGGCCGCCTTTTCCCCTACATGTCCTAACACAGCCTTTTTCTGCCGCAGAGCGGCTTGCCGACGCCTGCTGGACGCACTGCCTTAGGAAAAACGCGGGAGCGCGGTAGTGCATTTGACGGCCAGCCTGACCTTCTGCCATGCCATTCCTACCGCAGCCGTTTAGGCTTACCCCTTCAGTCGCAACTAGACTGCCAGCGAGTATGGCGCTCTTTGAGCAATCGGAGCTCACAGCATTCCTGCAGGCGCAGGGGGTGCACGAAGTAGTCTGCAACGGCCTCGCCCTCAAGGGGCTTGAGACAGTTGAGGACCTGGCATTTGCCTACCCAGACCTTAACAGCTTTGACACCTTTTTGCAGAGCCTCTCTGAGTCGGACCTCAGCGACATGGGAGTCTCCGATGCACTACATTCGGTCCAGGCAGCACGAGCCAGGAAAGCCTTGCGCTCAGCGCACAAAGCACAGGAGGGACCTCAGCCTTCATCTGCGATACCATCCCTCCCAGCAGCCCTGGCCCCTACGGCCTCCCCATCTTCGTGGATGGAGCACTTGCCGCCTAAGCTTAGCTCAGAGGTCGTGCAGGATTTGGTCACAACATTTAAAGCCAACTACCCGGGAGAGCTCCTGGACGATGATACGATGCCATCAATCCGCCTTCTTAGCCTGGTGCAACACAGCCTTCAGCCAGGCGAAAAGCTGAAGTGGATCCCATGGCAGTTGCGCCTGAGCTCCAAACAGTATTCTGAAATTATGGAGGCCAAATCATCTAAGCCTATGCGAACGGAGGCCCAGCTCCTCGCCTCAGCCATATATGACGACACGCCTGAGATGGCCGTCTCCCATCTCCGCCTGTCCGTGTCCTGGCTACAGCGCATCCAAACCGTGTTCCGAAACGCTTGGGCACTATGTGGGGCAGCCCACCTCAACAGGCCTTCGACAAGCGAGTCGAGCACTTAGCCTTGCCAGATCTAGCCGACTCATCCCTTCGGGGCCCTACAACGCAAGAGCTCTTGGCAGCTGATCGTAAGATCTGGAACACCATCTCCAGCCTGGCTGCTTCTGGCTGGAGCCTTGACGAAGCTTTATATGAGGTCACTAGCATTCGGAGCGACCTCGCCAACTTGCTCCAGCCAAGACCACGGCCGCCGCCGACACTGCCAGGTCCTAACCGCCGTCCCAACGGAGGAAACCCACCCCGCCCGCCAAGCAAAAGGGTCCGCCTTAACACGCCAACCACCGAAAAAGGTGGAAAGGGCAAAGGCCGCGGCAAAGGCCTTCAGAAGCCAGATAGCCCATCCAAGTCTGACTCATGGCCTTCTAACTGGGTGTTGAAGGCCAAAGGCAAAGTGCTCTGCAAGCGTTACGAGAGGAATCTCTGTGCCTTACCCAATTGCAAACGCGGTTAGGGGCTGCGGCAAGGAGCACTGCGCCGTTGACCACGACAAGAAGCCTTCGTGACGAGCCCCAGACGCAACAGCCGCTTCAGCCACCTCCCAGCACGGTACCCGCAGCCTCACAGCTGTTAGCCATGGAGCAGCCTCACTCAACCGGAAGCCCACCGCACGACCCGCCGTCCACATCCCAGGCCACAGACCCACAGCAGAGGCATCAGCCTCGGCCAAGCGCAACACGCAACCCCGGCGGGGTTCCGGCAGGACGACGGTTTGCCAACCGTGTGTGGACGGCGCGGAGCCAACGCCAAGCCCATAAGCCCCCTGTAGTCCCCAGCCTTAAGACCCTAGCCGTTTGCCCTTCCATCCCCATAGGCTCCACCTGCCTCAGACATGCCCGTGACGCCAACGTCTGCGCCATTGACCTCTCGCAAGAAGACGGCCAGGAACTGCCCGACCTTCTCCTTCAGGCAATTTGGTCCCGGGTGGTTCTAGGCCTCATTGCAGACCTCAGATCACTCGCTCCACACCTCGACGAAGCATGCGCCTTTTTGCAAGCCATCCGCTCCTCCGGAGCATCCGCCTTGCTGTTTCTGCCGTCAGATCATTTCCTCTTCCAGGCGCCACCATTCTGCGAAGCGCTTCACGACGGGGGGCTCTTTCTATGCCCGGAGCCAGATTCAGACAGGATTCTCATAGCCTCAGCTCCTTTGCCCACGTGGCCTTGTGCCGACGGTCTCGCAGCTTTGGAGGCAGCTGGGATGTTTGCGGCCATGCCCCTTTCTACCACACCCGCCCAGCCTCCGACTCTAGCATCAGCCCTACAATGCCATGGGGAGCTGGCCCACGACAGGGCCCCCATCTGTGATGGGGCCGGCAACACGAGCTCCGCGGACTGGAGCCGACCCCAGCCGAGCCCTGCAGCCATGCAGGACATCATGCAAGCCTGGCTCAAATGGGCATCCCAACGCGACCTGCCCAAGCGAGTCTTTGCACACCTCGCACAAAGCAAGCCAGATCACCCCATCCCGGAAGAAGACCAACTGGAGCTCATCCGGATAGCCTGCGAGGTCATGGAATGGGACTACGACTCCATGACGCAAGCCGCCGAAGGACAGCCCTTTCGCCTTAGTCTTATGCAAGCCTTTGCAGATCTCCTCAACGACCCAGACAAGGATCTCCCAGCCATGCTACGCGTGGGGGTGCACACAGGAGTCTTTGATCCCATTGAGCCCTCAGGGCTTCGGCCACTAGCCAAGATCCAGCCTCTGGCCTCATCAGGATTGGAGGTCTGCGAGGGGAACTGGAAGCCAGCTGAGGCAGACCCGGATACAGCACGAAGCCTTTTAGCAGACGAAGAAGCCGCAGGATGGATACAGCCCGTGCCAGGCGGCCTTGAGGAAGCCAAACAACTTTGGCCCAAGGGCATCGCCGTCGGCAAGCTCAGCCTTGTGAAGGCGGAGAACAGAGACCCTCGACTTGTGCTGGATAGCACGGTCTGCCAGGTCAACCCCATGTGTCGCATCCCCGAAGCGGTCGCAATGCCTACCGTCAACGACGTCCGGGCCACCTTCATGCCGTCAGACCCGCGAGGGTCATTCCTTGCAGCCAGTGTGGACTTCAAGGCAGCCCACAAACGAGTCAAGGTTCACCGCTCGGAACAAGGCCTACTCCTATTCATGTTTGAAAAGATCCTTTACAGATACGTCGTTTGGCACTTTGGAGCTAAGTTTTCAGCCTACTGGTGGCAGCGAGTAGGAGGCCTTATTACTCGCATTGCTCACCATGCGCTCGCCTTCGCCCCGCACAAAGCCTGGCTCTATGTCGATGACCTGCTCTCAGCCTTGCTCCGAGCATTCGCGCCGGAACTCTTGTTCCTCCTCATAGCCACACTGTCAAGCCTTGCCGCTCCGATTAGCTGGAAAAAGGCCTCAGTAGGGGACAGCCTTGTGTGGTGCGGCTGGCACTTTAATTTTCGCCTGGAAACCGTCGAACTTTGCGAGGCCAAGCGGGCCAAGCTTTGTGGCCAGATTAAAGCCTTATTGGCTCGCAAGAAGGTCCCCAGGAAAGACCTGGAAGCCTGCATAGGCCTACTCATGTGGGCTACAGCCATCAGCAAGGTTCCGCGAGCCCACGTAGCGCCTTTGTACAGTGTACTCAACAGCCCTCCAGGCAGTAATTGTTCTATCTCCCCTCGAAAGTGGCCAGCCTTCCTTCACAGCCTCGATTCCAGAGCTGTCATCTGCAGGCTCGTACCAGGAGTCAACCTGCCGCTGAAGGCCCGGATCATTGAGGTCGGCAGCCGTTCAGTGCACTGCAAAGCCGATCTCCCTCCACAGCCTAAGTCCTCGGGACCTACTTGGGTTCGCATCTCCGATCCCACTTGCCCTGAGATCAAGCTGACCAACACGGCCCAGGACAGCCTACGGTGGCTACTGCCACGCATTGAAGCCATCCCGACCACAAGCCTATCGCTTCCGCCCCTTGTCGCTTGCCTAGCCAGAGCTGACGCCATGGCTGAAGGGGACAGAGTCGGCATAGGGGGATGGATCACCACCAAACACAGCATGGCCTGGTTTGCAGAAGCCTGGACCATGGACGAGGTGAGGAACACATGGCCTTTTCTCACCAAAGATGCCCAGAAATACATCGCCTGCTTTGAGACGCTGGCTCAGCTTGCACTCGCCATGACAGCCCGAGAACGCCACGCCTTCTCGCAGTTTTCGGTCTGCTTGCCATCGCAGAGCGATAACACGCCTTCCGAGGCGGGCATCAACAAGCTTTTCACCACCAGTTGGCCCCTCTCACAGTTCCTACAGCTTATAGCTTCCTGGTCCTCCTGCCATGGAGTTGACCTACAGGTGTCTCACGTTGCAGGAGCACACAACCAATGGGCGGACGACCTCAGCCGAGGTCGGCTTCAAGCCTTCAGCCACAGACCTCAAGAACGAGTGCGGATCAGCCTTCACCGACTTGCATCGGCGGCCTCCCAGGCCACTTGGGCTGGATCCCCAGACACAACAAGCCCTTTGTTGCCCAGACCGGAGTGACGGCCTCGCCTAGACCGACTCCCGCCCGCCAGGCCGAAGTGAAAAAGAGGATCGCTGCCTTCCCGTATGTTTGCTCTGCGACACTTTGCCTGCTCCTTGACCTTGTCTTCCTGCCTGCTCAGGTCCACCTCCACCGCCCGCGGTGGGGGATACTTGCCTGCTGCCTTACCGGTTGGATCTGTCCCTGAAGTGGGGGAGTTTATGCCTTGGCTAGCCCTCTAGACCTTGGCACCTCCGGGCTAGCCGCAGAGCCTTACAGATCCAATACGGTATAAAAGATGGCAGCAAGTGATAGAGCAGTGCAAGCCTTTCTAGAACGTTTCGTGTTTTTGTTCACGTATGCTTTAGAAGGCATGTGAATCTATAGCACATCGCAGCACTGGCTCTAGCACTTGAGTTTTCTCGAAAAGCCCCACCCACCCACACCTAGGCTTGGCTTTCGGCCCCGGCCTCAGCCTTCTGTCTGGCCTTTCTTCGTTCAGCCTTGAACACACTGAGCGTCGCAGCCACGCCAAACAGCCTTCAGCTCCTGGGTGGTCCTCCGGCGAGGCCCTCTGCTCACACAAGCTGAGCCTGCTCCTTTGCCACGGCGGCTTGCCTTAGGTTCGCCGTCTAGCCTACTGGCCTCACCGAACCTGCCCTCTGTCGTGTCCCTAGTGCCCTAACCCTTTCGGTTGCCCGCCCGAACCCGCCCTGCCAGGTACTGCCGTCTACATGCTCCACAACGTCTTCTTGGCCTTCCGCGTCCCGAACTGATAAGCATTCTCACCTGGTCGTATGTCTCACGGAGCGCTCTTGTCCTGCCTCAGGTCCAGACGATAGCCTTTTGCCTTACTCAGTGCCCCGCCTGATCGGGTACTCTGCAGCCTTGCCTCTTCTCAGACCCTGAGAACTAGTTTCACGCTCCTTTGGAGCTTGCCTGCATTTTGCTTTTCAGAAGTTTCACGGACTTCTCACAAAGACTAGCCTTGGGGGAGTTTATGCCTTGGCTAGCCCTCTAGACCTTGGCACCTCCGGGCTGCCGCAGATCCAATACGGTATAAAAGATGGCAGCAAGTGATAGAGCAGTGCAAGCCTTTCTAGAACAATTGGGAGAAGGGGTGTAGACGAACTCGTGCTCATACGTTACACCCGGGGTTTCGCATGGTACATTTTCAGATTGTAAAAATGCCTTACATGCATGCATCTATCAATTTTGCATGCCTGCAATCATACCGCTTTATCACGCGTATATGACACGCAAACATGGATGCAGGCACACCCATGTCACTATAGACCTGCACAATATTCATTCGATCCTCATTTGCAGGTGCATGCCAAAACATCCTTGGGCAGTTCCCCCTGCACGAAAACAGACTGCTGCCGGGATTTGCTGTGCTCATGCAGTCCGCGGTTCTTCGCAGTTCAACGTATGCGGGTAATCCTCATCATCGAAGCATGTGATCCGACGCAGCGTCCCGCACGCATAAAAGCTGCCATTGATGAGTCGGTAGTTGGTGCGAGGCGCGACCAGGCCTGGCATGCGGGATGGTGCGGATTTGGGACTGGGAGATCTGCGGTTAAAGCCAGGACCAACTTCTGCCACATGGACAGGATGCGAATTATCTCCGAAGGTCTCCAAGAAGTTGATGCTCTTCCAAAACTGGAAAAAGTTGCTGTCACCTTCTTGGAGGTTCCACCTTGCAAGCGAATCTTTGTGCAGTCCGTGCGAGTGTCAGATGTATGCAGATCCCGCTAAGAGATCACGGCAACAGCTCCTCTCTCTCCCTCTCGAAAGCATGACAAATCCTACTACCGAACAGCCTCCGCCCAAGCGCTTGACGAAGGCGGTTTACAGAAAATTCTGAAGCAATCCCGGAATCCCAACTGAAAAGCTGAAAACAGAGCTTGGCATGCCGCCCAACTATTTCTTCTCCAAGGTTATCAGATTTTGCGTATGGGCTGTATTGCTACTCGGAAGAACTACAACTCGCTCTGCTCAATTCTCACTTCTATGTGTCTTGTGAACTGCTTTGTCACGATCACATACGTCAACCCGAAAAGCTGCGTACATAGACTCGATAGCAGTTACTCCCAACATCTCTTATGATGCTTACAGCGGTTTGTCAGATGTTCTATTCTAACCTTGCCATGTTTTCGCGCGTGTTTCTGCGAATAGTTGGTCGCTTCGACCGAGCTCTTAAGCCATTTTGGTTTGAAGTGCAGAGTGGCAAACCTGCATGCCGTAGACGTCTTATATCCCACATGTAATGTGCACAACGGATGGCCGCGAACTCGATCCGCCAAAACGTCTGGAGACAAAGATCAAACATGGCATTACTACTAGCCTCACCAGCATCTGGTGGCAGTACGCCAGAATGGCGGGGGCCCCGCCCTGGCCCATGATGTTTGGATCACCGAGGCCTGGAGCTGAGAGCCGAGCCACAGAGAGTAGAGGTGTAACGGACTCTCCGCCGCCACCTCGCTCTGTTTGAGGCGGCAGTTTCATGATCTGCAGGGCGGACTTGATCCAGAGGTTGGGGTTGGGACGCGTCCGAAGTTACGCGAGATGCCTTGCTTCAAGCAGCCAGGTCAAAATCGTCAGCCAGACCCTCAAGCTGCAGCGCACTGCAGCGCACTGCGTCCTCATGCCAAAGATGTGTAAGCACCTCACCGCATTCTTGGGTTCCTTTGCCGAGGCTTTTCTTGGCAAACCGGTCACTTGATGTAAGAGAGTCGAGTCAGTTAGGCAGTTAGGTAAGGCAACTCAGGCAACTGCGACTGTGAAGTTTGCACCGAGTTTGCACCGGAAGGTCCAGGCTGGTTACGAGTTGCAGGCAAGCCTCGGGCGAGGAGGTGTCGGCCGTGTGGTGCAGGCTTCGCACTCGTCTCAGTATCACATCACGCATACAGGTTGGAATCAGGATTCCTCTCAGGCGGTCTGCCGGCGATCACAGATCACCAGAGCTGTCAAGATCACCAGCCAGAAGTCTGATCCATCAGGCAGCGGATTTCAGAAATGGTTCCGTGAGCGCGCTTGTCTCCACGGAAGGTTTCGAAGTGTCTTTGATGAGCAAGTTGGACCATCCCAATGTCGTGCGTCTCTTCGAGACCTTCGTTGAGGTTCAGTTGCGGTCAGCTTATCCCGGCGGTTCTCTGTGCGCAGCGGCGCAGCTCATGCAGTGACAGGAGTCCCAAGGGCAGATACACTTGGTGATGGAGCTTTGCAGAGGCCGCGGCCGCACCGACTCCTTGCTGCTTGCTGTGAGCATGAGAGCTTCCGCTGTGGCGAAGGAGGTGCGTTGCCCAGCTATGCGCGGGAGTTCTGGCCACCCTTGGAAGAGGCAACAAGCCCGGGCGCCAGTGCGGCCCAGAGCGGCATCGAGTGATGTGTTGCCCAGGCTGCCGGGGCTGTGATCATGCAGCGCCCTTGAGCAGGGACAGAGAGGGAGCTCGTCCCTTCACGGCTTGCCGAGGTGGCAGCTGCTTGGGGCGGTGAACTACCTGCACAAACAGTCGCTGAGCCACGGGGACATCTGCCCTGCCAACGTCCGGGACCGGAGAAGACTTGCTTTGTGTGGTCATGTGCCATCTTTTCAAGCAGCCTTGCTGGAGGTCCTTATGCTCCATTTCGACCGACCGCCTGAGCAGAACGTGGCATGCAGCATGCAGCAGATTGCAGCAGATTGCAGTGTTCTGGGCCTCGGAGGTCACGAAGCTCATCGACTTCGGAGCGCATGCAGGGCGTCGGACGCACGATCTTCCTTCTTCTGGCTTGGTCATGAGAGCGGCTTGCCGACAGAGCGGCGCACTGCGATGCACTACGCTTCCGTGTCGCCTAGAGCATTGCGTAATGCAGCTAGATGGGTCTTCGTTTGCGTAACAAGCTGCATCTGGTCTTCAGGCTTTGCTGGGCTGGTGCTCCGGAATGAAGGGTGCCTCTCTCCGAGAAGCCCCCGTGATGAAGAAGGTCATTGCTTGTGCCAGAAGATCGGAGGGTTTTGGGACCTAGCAGTGCGCGTTGCTGCCCTCCGTTCTCCCCTCAGGGCCAAGCGGCGGTCTACAGCGAAGGGGGCCTCGGTGTGCCCATTTCCAAGGCCGCGGCGGAGCTCCTCGCGCGCTTCGCAGGAGACGCTGCAAGAGAGAGAAGAAGATGAGAAGATGCGTGAAATAGAAGGGGAGAGAGAGAGAGAGAGAGAGAGAGAGAGAGAGAGAGAGAGAGAGAGAGGCCCGCCGGCCTCAGCGGCCAGCGTCAGAGGCTGTCGACTCGACTCGTCTGCAGGCTCCGAGACCGACGCGGCCTTCACCGCCGAAAAGGCCTTGTGCCACAACTGGTTCATCCGCACAAGGCAGGAGGAGAGAGAACTTCTCCGTGCATGAGACTGGCTTCTGCCCTTTCTCCGGTCAGGCACGGAGAGGTTCCGCTGCGCAAGGCGACATCCAAGAGAGGCAGGGGCAAATTCCTTTCTGCAAGCAGCTGGTCGATGAATTTTCTGTGTGAGGTGCGAGGCATGAGCCCGAGGTCCGCACGAGAAACGACGGCAATGGCTCGTCAAAAGAGGCAGGCTTACGTGGCAAGAAGGACAAAGAAGGCGGTAGCCCTTCGACGGCAAGCAGGCATTGCGGCATGACCCAAGAAAGTGGCTGCCGCTTTGGCGTAGGGATGCGTGCGGACAGGACGAGACAGGACCAAAGAGATCAAGCCGAGGCGAAAGCGCGCGGCTGCACCGCCAAGCGATGCCAAGCGCCCACAGCCTGCAAGGAGCGAGAAGGAGAGGAGCGAGCGGAGCGAGAGCTGTCGAAACGGCGGCTCCGTTTCGGCGGCGTCGCGTTTGGCTTTGGGGACGCTGGAAGAAAAGCCCACCGTGACTGCCGCCGGGCCCGGGCCCCCGCCGCAGCGGCGCCGCCGCTTCTCTGCTTTAGCATTGGGGCACTGTCTCAGACTGTCAGGTGGTGGGGTTCCCAAGCGGAGCTCCCGCGGAACTTCGTGGCACGGCTGCGCGCTTTCTGCACCGTGGGCGTCGTTCCCAGGGCGATCCTGCTCGTGGCAGCCGACTGTTTGGAGGAGGCCAGCGCGGCCAAGGAATAAGAAGGCCTTGAGCCAAGCAGCTCGACACAGGAAGCCTTGGCGCCGCTGCGGGCGGCCTTCCAGCGCCTGGACGGCTGGTGTCCGGACGGGCTGCTGACCGTGTGCCGCTCAGCCAATGGCACAAAGAGAAGGCTGCCATGACCCGTGGCCCGTGGCCCTGCCCGTCCCTTGTCAGGAGGAGGACTTGAGGCACCGGCTTCCAAAGCTGGGTTGCGAGCCCCACAGCTTCTCAGACAGAGTCACTCAAAGCAGTGTAGCTTAGCAGCCAGCCTCTTCTCCACGGCTCAGGCAAGGATGCTCCGAAAGACTTGGACCGCTTGCTTCTGGAGGCAGCTCGGCTCCTGCAGCCAGAAACGGACGAATTGAATCAACGTTTAAACATGCGCCTCTTGAGCTTTGTACATGCGGCGCCTGCAGCAAGTTTTCAAGCAGAAGCAGTGCCTATCATTCCAAGAAGAAGCTAGGACGTTGTTTTAGGCATATGACACCTTTTCTGAACTGCACAACGTTTGTCTCTCCAATCGAAAAAGATAGAACTTTCCAGAAACAGGACTTCGGCGGAGTGACCCTGACCATGTTGCAGAGCGTTAACGGCCGAGGTAGAGTGGTTGCAAATTCTGTATTGCGATGCTGTTTTCAAAGATATCCAGTTGGGTCATTGGACATCCAGGTTGGATCAGTGGCGTAACAGCCTGTCTCCAACAGTCAGCCTGCCTGACCATCAGCCTCAGATCTCAGTGGCGGATGCTGCCGATGCTAAATCGCTGTTCGACCGTCTTCTTCGTAAGCATCCATCCTCATGGCCGTCAAGATCGCAGGTCTGCCCTCGAGCTCGCCATCATGCTGTAGATCTAAAATCTCACAAGACTGTTGCGCGATGGACTCCTCACCAGAAAGATGGTGGTCGATTGCTTGACTAAGGATGATCCGCTTGCGACTGGAGCTGAAAAGGATCAGCGAGGTGCGCCGCTTGCCGCTGGCAGCAGCTCCGCGATGTGCACCTCAGACTGACCTATCGGAATTGAAAACCGACATGGTAGTTTGCTACCGACTCTGTTCACGGGCCCTGACAGAGCGCCAACCCAACAGACACCTTCGGGTACCAGATTGACCGGTATATGGACACCCGCACGGGCCAGCGCTTACGGAAAATGGTGTGATATGTGGGGAGTACTTTCTGTGCAGTCTACGCAGTGAAGGATGGGGAGGAGAGCTGACGAAATCCGCCCCAACTGTGCAGTTTAGCGTCATGTTGACATGGTGGGCCTTAGGAGCGCGGACTCGGACACGCGATCATTTGGTGCAAGGAAAAGGACAGTGTCTTCCCTTGTGTTAAGTGCATCTTCTGTACTTAACTGGTTAACAGCCTTAGACTACTTCGTTACTTTGGTAGGAAAGGCAAAGCCTCTCGCCGGCATAGTGTCCCTATCTCCATATCTGCACACCTGCCTTGAGCTTGTGCTTGAAATCGCAACACAGGTGCCACAGGCCTGCCTCATTCATAATCTGCAGATCAGTAAAGAGCCAGAGCCAGGCGCAGCATCCTCGCACATTCTCAGTCCTTGTTGGGTTGCTCCCGGGGACTCCATGTTCCGAGCTTCTCACCCGTGTATGCAAGTGACTGATTCTGAGGAACTCCTTTGCGTTGACTCCTGGACATTCCATATCTGCAAACGCAACAACAGCACCGCTGGACGTTCCATGTGCTGCATCGTAAGACCCATTTCAGGGATTTCGGAGATTTCTCACAGGGTGAGACCCGAAGCCCATACCCCGATCCCAACACAGTTTGGACAAAGTCCCAAACCCGGGGTGATTCGGTTCCACGCTTCCTACTGCTCATTCCACGGCTCAGACTTGATCTTGCTGCTTGCCCGATCTTGCTGCTTGCCCGCCGGGCTGAGCAGAAGCTACTTGACTCCTCTGGTGGAGAGTGGAATCTTGTACGTGGCAGCAGCTCAAGCAGAGCTTTGCTCGCTTTCAAGCTTATTGATGCGATCACGGCCCTGAGGTGGCCCCTGGCAGGAGCTCCGACGCTGGGAGAAGCTCCGACGGCCGCCGTCGCAGGGTGATCGTTATGGCTGTTGTGCCAGGATTCTTCACTGTGTTGGTCGCTCTGGGCAGCGCACCACAATCCGTATTCACTTTATTGAATGTGCGAGTCTCTTTGCTGAGCCTCGCGGAAGATCGTGCTCTCCTTCGCACAACGCTTCTGAACTTAGGAGCCCTAAAACTTAATCCTACCCAGCGGTAGGGCCGGTGCCCTGCAACCACCGATTGCTAAATTTTCAGGTCCATCGCGCACTCTTTTTGTCCTGCTGAGGGTATCATGCACTGCACCTTCACAGGCTCCTTCATCCTTCATCTTCTGCAGCTGAGCCTTTTGCACCCGAGACAGTCGAGATAGAGGACGAGGAATTACTGAGCACTGCAAAGACGGTTCTGGTATCATTGAACTTTGATCAGGCATTATTGTTAGACCTGCATCGGGGTGACAGCCATCACTTCATGGCACAACTGGAGACTGATGTCCGTCCCGTATAATTTTGGATTTTATTGTCGTCTCTTAGCAGCTGCGCAAGCGCCGGAGAGCAGATCACGTCTGCCATATCGATCTGCGGGACGTCAGGACGTCCGGGCCGGGGGGGGAGAGGTGAAGGCCTGGCACCTCGGTCTGACCGGGTCTGACTGGCTGTCGGGTTTGGCGCCGACTGTGAATACCTGCAGTCGCTATTCCGCTTCCACGATGGCCTCAGCTATGTTTGGTGAAGCCCTGAACGTGCAATCCATGCTGGAGCACCTGTCAGGACATGTCGTTCCATCAGGGCAACGAGACGCTGCTTAAAGTCTTAGCATTAGGCTGACCACCCAAGCTCCGACATGCCAACCGGTTCACTGGGTCAACATAGCCTCCATGGCCGAACAGTTTCCGCACATCGTTGTCGAGTATTGCCGAACGGGAACTTCAGATAGCAAATGGCCTTACAAAGATCATCGCGCCGGCAAAGTGACCATACACAATGGTGCAGTTCGGCATGACGGGCTTTAACGATGGTTTCCACCTAAAAGCGGTCGTTGCCAGTCCAACTGACACAGTGTCGCATGCCGAGGTCTTTGCAGCAAGTTGCCCGAAGGTCCCAATTAACAACACCTTGACAGCTCTTGGAGTTGCTTCCTCAGGGTCGGAAGAGGGGGTTCCAGGGGAAGTGCATTGAATGTCTTTTCAGCGGCTGCATCTGTCCTAGCGGATGTCTTCGGCCGCAGAACACCATACGCAAGTACGAGTGTGCTGCCGCAGTCATGTGCGATGTATTCGGCATTACATGCCAGCGCACAGGTTCTCAAGCGCGGTCTTGCAACAAGGTGTTGTATTGTGCAGTCATATCCGGCGGCATACCACAGGACAGGTTTGCAGTGCTGGCCTACTTGATTCGACATCATGCGCGCCTGAATCCAGCTGATCGCGCAACACCATCAATTCGGATTCAACCTTCCCTCCATGACATTAACTTCGAGTTTCACCGTTCTGCCTCCAAAAGGGGGGTTATTTCAATCCGCAGTTGTGCAGTTTAGCATCATGTGGACCTGTTAGGTCGGAGACACGGAGGCTTACGCAGTCCCGTTGCAGACCCAAGCCGGCGGGATGCGACCGACCCCAAGATGAACATTTTGGGATCGCCCACTGTCGCGAAGACAAGACAAGCGCCGACAGGAAGAAAGCCAACTGCGAGCGAGCCGAAGGAAGGGCCGACTCGGAGAACGTGACTTGTTTTCTCTGACAGCACACCTCTCCCCGCGAAGGGCCGCAGAATCGGCATTGAGCGAAGCTGTGCTGAAAGGGTTGCATGTACCCACGCCACATGAACCCGGGGACCACAGCAGACCCGAGGCCAAAGTACCGTCAAAAATGTGTTGGTGTTTTATTTTCCGTCCGGCGTCACATCCCAGGATCGCATCGGGTTCTTTAGAATGAGCGGTCGTGACCGGACGTCATGGCGTTGAACCGGAACTCCACTAGGGGGCAGTGCTTGTCTGGGAAACGGCATTGAGGGACAGTGCGCAAAAGGAAGAAGATGAAGAGCAAATCGCGAATGACACCGGCCGGAATGAAACTAGCCTCATGCACTTAATTCTGCCGCAGAGTCCCTAGATTGCTCATATTCAGAGTACCCTCAGCATCTGACCCCGAGCGCCCACGCCGTGTCCTGTGGTGCTGGCATCGCAATCTATTTTTCGATTCGCCCCTATGTAAACCCGACCCAGTGTTGTCCAGAGTAAATCGGCTTGTTTGGCTACGCAGGCCGACGTGGACGGGGTGGGGCTGCTGGACTACACCACTTTCCTCGCCATTGCAATGGGTGCCCAGGAAGGGACTGGGGCCGACTGGGGGAGTGGGGAAAGCGAGGATTGCACTGGGAGCGGGAGGAGCTGCTCTCCAGCCAACTTGGTCAAAGAGTGTTCAATGTTCTCGATCGAGACCAGGCCGGCACAATGAAAAAAGGCCTTGCCGTCACTCCGCGCCTGCGAGCGCAGAGGACGGTATCATCTCAGTGGCTGATCTGGCTGCTTTCTTGGGCCCTGGCGACAAGGCTGTCAAAACTGTCCGACCACGGCACACTTTTGCGCACTTTACGCAATGCAGGATATCGAGACCCAGCTGTCTGCCGGGCTTGCGCCATTGACCTTCGAAGGCGCAGTCGCTGCCAGTGGGGCACTTTGGGCACTTTCGAGCTGAAAATCTCCCAACCTCCATCGCCGCAGGTTTCCAGACGCTTCTCACAGACTTGGCCAAGCGACAGGAAAACTTCCGGCAGCCGTTGTGCCTTGGTTGAAGGGGTTTCGATTGCTGTGGATGCAGGCACACTGGTTGCACTCAGTTACTCCGCGATTTCTTTTAGTTTCGCATACTGAGTTTGCTTGCGCTTGTTTGTTTGTTCGTTTGTTGGCTTCTCCTGCCGCCTTACATGATGCACGGCGAACAACAATACCCCAATGACTCCTTTCCAGGCCGAGCATTTGGCATGAGTATTGTTTTGCACGCAGGGGGTCGGCTTGGTGGAGGGACCGCGGAGGGATTGACCCGGTGTTTCCATCAAGGAACGAATCGATGTACTTGTGGTTTTTGGGCCCAGCTGTGGCTGGCAGATCCGACGTTGAAGACGATGCGGCCGGGACAGGTAAGGGGAGCAGAGGCAGGGTCAGGGCGGAGCAGAAACTGTGCGGGGGCCTGCAGTTTGCCTTCACCTTGTGTTTTCCGCAACCTCATTGTGTGTGTGTGTTTTGCCTCATGGTTTGGCAACGGCCGCTTGCTTTCACCGTGTGTTTGTTTTACCAAACCCTGGTGAAGAAGGCCATGACCGCTTGACTTCACCATGTGCTTGGGGCACCAAAACCATGGTGAAGGCAGCAGCTGCTTGCCTTCACCGTGTGTTTTTGGCAACGACGGACGGTCGACGACAGCTACTACAAAACACTACTGTTAGCGCGACTGCTACTACATAGCAACCACAACAGCGACACCTACTGCTACTACTACTACTACTACTACTACTACTACTACTACTACCACTACTACTACTACGACTACTACTACTACTACTACTACTACTACTACTACTACTACTACTACTACTTCTAATTCTACTACTACCACTACTACTACTACTACTACTACTACTACTACTACTACTACTACTACTACTACTACTACTACTACAACAACGACTACTACTACTACTACAACTACATCTACAACTACAACTACAACAACTACTACAACAACAACTACTACTACTACTACTACTACTACTACTACTACTACTACTGCTACTACTATTGTGTGATACACCTGCCACGTGGGTGACAAAAACCCGTATGCCTACTACTACAACTACGACGACGACTCTACTGTTATTACTCTTTCTGCTGCTGCTTCTGTTTCTTCTTCTACTTCTACTTCTTCTACTTCTACTACTTCTATTACTACTACTACTACTACTACTACTACTACTACTACTACTACTACTACTACTACTACTACTACTACTACTACTACTACTACTACTCTGCTACGACGATGCTACTACTCCTATACGCGCAAAGCAGCAATGCTCCGGCAAAGCTCCGAACTGCGTGGGAGGCTAAAGTGGATGACGGTCTCCGGGAGACGGCAGATGGGTTCGAGGGTGCTCTGTGAGACCCTGTTGCTAGTAGGAATGTCTTGCTTTTTGGCCAGAGCGGAGCTGTGGAGGGCATCGGAGTAGGGATCGACGGATCTGGATCTGAGGTCGGAGGTGAGGCACGTATTGTCCTCTGCAGCTGTGGAGCGGCTTCAGCTGGCAATGGAAACGGTTTCAGGACAGATTGCAATGCCTTCGTTCTCGTTCCCGTAGTTCCCGTCTCACCGTCAGGATTGGCCTTTGGTGAACGATCTGAAGTCATCAAGGCGCGAGGCTGGCCAGGCTGGCGGTGTGCCACCGGTCACTGGCCCGACTTAGGCCAAGCGCCGCCTGGCTGATGCTGCAGCGAAAAAGCGCTTGGAGCTTTGAGAGATTCCCCCGCCGGCACCCGCAATCACCAGCATGCGCTGCTTCCAGGCCTAGCCACGGAAGAGCGACGCCGAAAGGAGAAGTCGAGGTCACGGCGAAGGAGCAGCAAGCGAGGGAGAGTAGCGAGACACAAAAAGCCCTGCAATCCACATTCAGGTCGTCTGGTCGGCTCATTTTCCTGTCGTGATAGCTTAGAAAACAGCACTAAGCCCATCGTAGGACGATGGAGCAAACCATAGCCGGAGCTCATGGATATAAACGCTAGCGATCCATCATGTCCGCACTCAAAGTTTTTATACATTGCGCGTGATGGCAGAGTGGAGTACTAATTTTATGCTCACGATGCCCGAGAAACCGACCAGCTTGTGTATGAGCAGCAGCACAACCCTGATAGAGCGAGCGCTTGTGTCTATCTATATCTGACCCTGCAATGATTTCGAGGATATCAATTTCCTGCCCCAGTTGTTGCCTGGCATAACGGCAACAGCTCGCAATGTTGATTTGGTTTCCCCGCGGCCCTGTGTTTCGACCTGGCTTCAAACTCTAGCACTCATCTGCTGCTGACGTTTCGAAGCTTCTCGGGTGATTCGCGCACAGGTTCAGGATTCTCAGATTGTAGAGCTTACACGTGTCATCATGGTCGGCCAACGATGGACGATTCCCGGACACGCGTTATCTGACAGTTGCGGAATTCAGCGTCCTAGCGACTTCTCGACTGCACGAGCTTAGTGCCCCCCCAAACTTCTGCATCTGTATCAGGCCCAATCAGTGTTTCTGCAAACTTGAGCCCCCCCTCTCTGGTGCCATCCTTCCCGCAGACCCCACCTGAAGTCCGAAAGACTGTCTGCTGCTGTTCAACACCGAGCAGCAGAGTGAGCGGCGGCGCTGTGGCCAACAACCTGGCTCGCCCTGATGTGTCGGGTTCGTTTCTGCTCCGGTCGTCATTGGCCCATGGGAGACAGCAAGCAACAGCTCTGGACTTTTCGGCTGCCTTGTTGTTTGACATTCGTGCCAACAGCCAGCACTATCAGCCCGGAACCAATTTTCAATCCTGGTCCAAGACATGTTCTGTCCTTGCTTTAGTAATCCTGCCTTGAGATCCGTCCAGAGATGAGATGTTCATCCTGGTTCAAGATCATCTGTGGCAAAACAATCTGCGAGCATGGGTATCGATTCGATTTTCAGCGCCGACAGAGGCTTGTCATTTCGACATGAGGCCAATGTATTGCCAATTTCAACACGACGATGTGTCACGGAACCCTACACACGGCGACATCTCGCAACATCGAAGTAGCTGGCACCAAGAGGGGGTTGCCAAATCCGAGTACGAGTCGTCACGGCAGCACACGCATGCTCAGGGACATTTTTTGATGTGCGGCGGCTCCCTCTCCCTACCACTACTACCACTACTACTACTACTACTACTACTACTACTACTACTACTACTACTACTACTACTACTACTACTACTACTACTACTACTACTACTACTACTACTACTAAATGGCTACGGCTCAAGTTTGGGCTCGAGCCTTCGTTGCTGACTGCCGACACGATATCCTGAGACCCTGAGCACGAGCTTCTCTCCCTCGCCACCTCCTGTCCTCTCCCCCTCTCTTTCTCTCTCTCTCTCTCTCTCTCTCCCCTTTCTCTCTCTTTCTTTCTTTCTGTCTTCTTCTTCTTCTTGCACTGCCTCTCCTTGCACTGGCTGCCCTTTTCTTGCACTGACTGCTGCCCTTTCCCTTGTTTCGTGTTTTGCACTGCCTGCCCTTGCCTGCCATGCCTCGAACTGAACCGTCCGAAACTACCGAGAGAGGGCGAGGTCGAGAACGGAGCCGAGGGAGTGAGAAAACCGAGCGGAACAATGAACGCACTCAGCTCCATAGAGTGGGCCCCACGGTCTCTAGCCACCACAGCGTCCTCGAGAACGGTCCTAGAACAGAAGCCGCGCGACCACCCAGCTCTGACCCCGGGACCCGACGATCACCCGACCTCAAGAAAATTAAGTTTGAAACGAAGGATCAAGCCGATACCCAGCCTGATTCCGAAATGCCCGACCAAACCGCCCCAGCAGGCACAGAACTGACTTCAGTCCATCCCTTTCTCAGGCTTGACCACAGCTCGGCCTTTGGGCCCCATGAAGTTTTTGATCTCACGTCAGGAGACAACCAAGGTGATGACGACGAGCTCAACACCAGTAAGCCACCCGACCAACAGCAGCAAGGACCGGGGTTAGGGGCTGGTGGCAACTCTGAGCAGAGTAGACCCTTCGCTACCCTAACTGACCCGGCTCCTGCACCTCCCCCTGGCTTCAAGACATTTCGGAAAGTTTGAAGGGCTTACATATGAAGAGTGACCAAACACATAAGTACTGCTTGGAGCTCGGAGGCGTCGTAGGGCAGCACGATGTTCGAATCCAAACTCTTGAGGCTGCAACCAAAGAACACACGGGGCAACATGAAGCCACAGATGCACGGATCACCGCTTTAGAGAAAGTGGTAGGTGACCTTGAACGGCCTGCCCGGTCCATGACCCCTCCAAGGGGGGCTCCAGACACGCCGCGAGGGTCGCGAGCAGGGAACATCAGCCCGCGCAGCCCACGGGGCGGACCCCCGTCTGATGTATTCCGTGACCCAGCTCAGGACCTAGGCCTGGTCGTCGGTGGTTGGACGGACGCGAGAGTAGCAGAAGCGGAGAGGGAAATTCAGAACCTGTTTACGGAAGCGGGATTCGAGGGGGCTATTTTGGACTTCTCGGGACCTTCCGGGCGCACCAACTTCTTGCGGGCTTCACTCGATTTCCAAGGGTTGGGGATGACTGAGCTAGGTAAAAAACGAGCGTACCAAACCCAGGTCCTGAACAAGCTCAAAGCCCTCAAAGCTAAGTGCGGCATTGTGGGACAGGAAGATTGCAGTCTGTGGGTTCAACGAGATCGCTCGGTTGAGGAAAGGCTTCGTATCCGTGCCATCGTGTTGGCCAAGAACTTCTACAATGCCCTTCCCTTTAAGAACGACAGCCTGCCAAGGTGGCCGGACCCGGAGATAGTTTGGAGAGGTCAGCTGTTTGTAGGGCAGGTGAGAACCCTTAAGAACATGGATGACGGACACGAACCGGCAGCATATGACCAAATAATAGAAGACGTGAAGGGCAACCATACCGTCTGGCTTCTATGCGCGGAGGCTTTCGCGAAGATCACAGGACGCGAAAAGGAGTCACTACAGCAACTGTGGCAGGACTTTGGGCCCAACGCCACCCCAATGGGATTCCGTGCCTGACAAACCGCAGCTAAGGTGCAAAGGACGAGGGCGAGAGCAGACATGCATGCTCTTTCTTGGAATTTGAGGGGCAAAGGTCTAGAAGATGTTGCCCGCACCTGGGATGTACTTGGTTTTCAAGGGTCCCACGTAATTGGGTTGCAAGAAGTGGGATCACTGCCGCAACAATGCGCTACCCATGACTCTGTTTTGCACCACGAGGTCAAGCTGGCGGGACAGTCCTATACCTTCTTCTTTTGTGATCCCTCGCACTCGTGGCGGGGGGCAGCTCTAGGCATTCCTACCAGCTGGCTTGGCCAAGTCGAGAAGACAAAGGCCTTTTGCACGGGTTTGGGAGTTGTCTTTCGTGACCAAGGAACCCGCAAGTTTTTGGCATCTATTCACATGCCACATTCGCTCCGGAAGGATCACTTGCCCGTTTGGCAACAACAAACCGAAGAAGTTCTGCAATTTTGTCAGCATCGCAGATACCATGACACTATCTGCCTGTGCTGCGATCCTAATTACGACGTGCTAGACATTGTGAACGTCGATGAACGAGGCGTGCCGTTTGGGCAGTTGCTCCGGACCTTGAGCCTTGAACACACCCGACCCCCAGGCCCGACGTGGAAGAACACCACAGGGTCCTCTTCCAGGATCGATTTCATCCTGTTCGCCATGCCGTCGCTGGAGTATCGGGACGACCGTGTAGTTGAGGGTTCGGATGAAGTCATAGGGTCCGACATTAGCAGTGGACGTGCTTTTTTCAAGCCTTGTAAGTGTGGGAAGTGGTGGACTGACGGGCCTGCTTTGCAGACTAGAGCTGAACAACTTGCAGAAACACTTGACTTGCAGATGAAGGACCTTTCCATGACAGACCTGGAGAACCTGTGCAGTGCCACGTCCAAGCGTGTCACCAGCTGCAGGTACACTGACTCACCGGCTGTCAAGGACATGATCCAAGCTCGGAAGAAACTCCGGGGCAAAGAAGCTCAGAAGATGGCCAAGTGCATCGCTGATAAGCGTAAGGCCGACAAGAGGGAGTGGCTAGTGAAGCTTCTAGAGCAGAGCGCAGCGGGGGATTTCCGAGCGGCCGCCTACTTCCGCAAAAGACAGTCCACCATGTTTGTGCAGGGATCGTACTGTGCGGGCTGGCGGCAAAGCTAAGGCCATTAGTGACTTGCGCTTCTTCTACCAGAGGAAGTACACACCCATGGAGCCGTCCCCTTCAGGTTTGCCCATGGCCATTTTTCACTGCCGAGCAGGGCCCATCCTGAACCCTGAGCCTTTTACTCTGCAGGAAATACAGGAAGTAGCCTTTCAGTGCAAGCACAACAAGAGCACGGGGGCCGATGGCATATCGTACGAGGCCCACCAGATGCTTCTACAGTCGGACCTTAGCCATCACATCTTGGACATGTTTAACAGTGTGTTGCACGGCCTTTGCCCCCCCCCTAGTTGGCTGACCAGTCATGTGTGTTTCCTTCCGAAGACTACGACTCCCTCAGCACCAGGAGACCTACGGCCCATTGTTCTTTCGAGCACCACTGCCAAGGTGTTCACTAAGGCTCTGATGCTCCGCTTGCGTCCAAAACTGCCCGCGATGCAGGCCTTTCAGGTTGGAGGCCTCCCCAAAAGGCAGACACTCGATGCTGCGTGTGCAGTCCAGCACGCGATAAGACTGGCGGAGGAGTACGGAAAACCGCTTGTGATAGTGAAACTCGATGTGGCGGCGGCGTTTGATTCGCTGTCGCACGAAGCAGTAGCTGCCCTGTTGGCCACGACACAAGGATCCCGTGAAGCAGAGTTGTTGCTGCAGATCGTCTGCAATAGCAAAGTTGAGCTA